CCCCCCCCTCTATTCTGAATTGTCTCCCTGAGGGATTGTATTATTGAAAAAGGGTTGATATCGATACTAAGTGCATATTGTACTCAAATTATTTTCCCTTAACAGTAGCATTTTGTTACATTTTACGTTCCCGTCAGGGTTTTCAAATCATCAATTTACGCTGATACTTTGAGAAATTATACATCGTTAAAACGGTTTCTTGTTATCAAATGAATCCTAAAATTGTCTCAAACTCCTGCACTCTCGGTTCAAATATGTTACCTAGCCGGTCTCTCCCTTTAAACTGTGTAGTTTTCTTCATATTTTAATCCTTCACAAAATAAATATAAAAAGGCCTATTTCATGTAGATATAAACCCTTTCATTTATTAATCTCAATATGCTTAGTTAGGTCTTTTAAGGATTTATATATTTGATAAAAGTGACCCCCCCCCCTATTTACTTCTTCTGAAACTGAGGTGATATCTCATCCCTAACTTTTGAATCACCCACCTCTGCCTCTTTAGTAAAAATAAATTCTAACTATATGAAGCATAAAGTCTGACCGCGTCAACCTTGTTGCACCGGCTAGTCCTGTCCATAGGCTATAGGTACAGTGCAAACTGGGACCGGCCGGAAAGGTTGACCCGGCTCGGAAATTCAAATGTACTGTAACGGCTGCCCGTGAAATATGCATATCTAATCCTTACAATTACGCGCCTCATTGGTTTCAATGACTTTAAAGACAGAGAAAAAAACTGCACAGGAAGTATTGCCTAATAATGTAATCCGAAAAAAAAACGATTTTTGAGACAATATCCATAGTTGTACAGTGTTCACTCTATAAATGGGAGTGAAAGCGTAATTCCAAAAGATCCTTTCTGTAAAGTTGGGTATTGTCTGATTTAAAACGAGACACTTGAATCAAACTAGAAAGGGTCACTTAAAATTACGCTTACAGTCCCTTTAAATCAGAATTTATAATTTCTTCTTTAGAAATTTGCATCATTTTTGATCATACACTTTTTAAATAAAGAGTTATTTGAAATATCGTGAGGAGTTCCTTTAACCCTATTCCCGCTGGGGGTAAGGTCGATATATTATTAGGCTAAAATCTGTTGCAAAAACTCCTTCAAAACTTAACCCAGTCAAATCATAGGCAAAATTAGAACAGGACAGACACTTTAAAGTAGATCTGAGGCCTAATTTAAAGAATTTGAGCCGCAGTTTACATTTAAGCCGAGACACTCAAATTTTGTTGGTTCCACTTATAATTGTATTGAGTTGTTCAAGGTTTAAGCCGGCGCTCAATTTTTGGGGGATTTGAGACGCGGCTTAAATTCATTAAATTCGGACGCTGGTCTCAAAAATTAATTGATTATTATTTCTCAGAACTCATGTCCTAAAATAACAAAGGCTTATGCTCTGTTTCTTCTATATAATTGAATTAGATTGAGTTTTCTTCTTCATTGAAAACGAAAAAGCCATCCAAAAAGTATTGAATAGAAAAATAGAAAAATGTTTAACTCTCTGCTAAACCCCATTAGTTCTTCGGTCAAAGTACTGCAAATTACACACACCGAAGGCTTAGTTGAGGTTGCTAAGAGGCCGAATCTAAAGAATTTGAGCCGCGGCTTAAATTTAAGCCAGGGCTCAAATTGGTTCCACTTAAAATCGTATTCATTGTTTCAAGATTAAAGTCGGTGCGCTCAATTGAAACCGGTTTTTGGCGGATTCAAGACGCGGATTAAATTCGGACACTAATTAATTCTGAAGTTTGATTATTTAAAATCTAAATTTAATAAAACATTATTTTTAAAAATATTTGTATAAACTTATTAAAAAATTACGATCAAAAAACGTAAAAAAGGAACTAATTATGCAGTACAGATAAAAATTAGAAAAATCAGCAAATGATTTGGTAACATCATCATACAACATACCGAGCATGCACCGAGCACGTAATTTCAAAATACATTTTGCCTGCATCCTAAATTTAATACGATTGTCCAATTTCCTATGTGACCTCAAACATGTTACAAATTTGTATTCCAGGCGTGTGATAGTCAACTCTCTGAGATGGGTCCAATATTTTAAGATGAGAGTGCCGCCAGCCAGTCCGTTCTCTCTTCTCATTGGTCGGAGATCTAGCCAATCAGCGGCAGGAACATTGAGGTTTCTCAATGAATGAAGGGGGTTTCCTCCACATGATAGTTTGGTGGACTAATTTTAGAAACAAGCCTTGAACTAATGGGCTATAAAAAATATAAGTATTCTTTATGTTTTTCTTCAAGAAATATAAAATATAGATGGATGGCCGGATATATAGAAGAGAGAGAACTATAAGAGAGAGAGAGCGCGTTGGATTTAAGTTGAAAGATAGATGAATAAAGAGCGAGATAGATATACATGTGTAATATAGGTAGATATTCTAAAAAAGAACTATAATAATAGAAAGCATAAAAAATTGAAAGATTAAAAAATAGAACGATAGAAAGAAAAGATTAGGCCGGAAGATAGAAAGCCAGAGAAAGATAATAAAAAAGGAAAAATAGAAAGATTGGAAGATAGAAAGTTAAAAAAACAGAAAGATAGAAAGATAAAACTAGAAGGATAAAAACTAGAGAGATAAAAACTAGAAAGATAGAAAACTAGAAAGATAAAAACTAGAAAGATAGAAAACTAGAAAGATACAAACTAGAAAGATAAAAACTAGAAAGATAGAAAACTAGAAAGATAGAAAACAAGAAAGATAGAAAACTAGAAAGATAGAAAACTAGAAAGATAAAAACTAGAAAGATAGAAAACAAGAAAGATAGAAAACTAGAAAGA